ACCCCATGGACCAGAGCACGCCAGGCCCTCCTGTCTTCCACTGCCTCCCGTAGTTGTGTCAAATTCATGTTGGTCACTTCGATGACAATGGCCAACCATCTCATCCTCTGTCGTCCCCTTCTCCTCTTGCCTTCACACTTTCCCAACATCAGGGTCTTTTCCAGGGAGTCTCCACTTCTCATGAGGTGGCCAACTTAAAGATGAACAAATTTATTTCCTCTTGACTTTTCATAGACTGCAACCCCATAGTATGTTTGCTTCAGTTCTGATCTGTATTTTTGGTGGTGTTACTTGGAAGAACTGTCCTTTTTTGGAGACGCTTTCTAATAAGAGTCCAACAGGCAGCGAGCCTACAGGTCCCATGAATACCTTACCTCCCATGAAGAACAAGCTTCCCCCCTTTTTTTTCTTTGTACAGGAAGTAGACCTGAGACAGGTCTGTCCCAGGCGAGTGAAATATAGGTGCCTTTAGGTGCATGGAGCGGTGTGTTTGCCGGGCAAGAATTCCAAGAATTTTGCCTGGATCTTGGGAGAATTCTGGGAGCTGAAATCGAAAACAAGCTGAAGCAGAATGACACACCCCTAGTTCAAGGCAGGGCATCCACTTCATGCTCACAACAGCCCTGTGAGGTAGCTTATGCTGAAAAAAAGGGGAAGGAGAGTAACTGGTCGAAGATCACGCATAAGTTTCATAGCTGGGAGAGGGACACATCTGGCCCACCACCCTTAACCACGGCACCATGCTGGCATTTCTGTCAGTGTCTCCTGGTTGCTATTTAAACCACCTTTGATCTCGTATCAAGTGCTTTCGTCTTTCACCCATCGCCTTTCACCCATCCAGTCATGCCTGGTTTCTGTAGGGACACTGGAGGGCAATGCACGGCCATTGAGAACCAGGTACTGTGTGAATAAAAGCACTGAGCTGAATCAAAAACAAAAAAACAAAACAAAACAAAAACCAGAAATTTCATGGCTTGACCTCATTTAGGAGTGTATAATGTTGATTTCTCTGTGAATGTGAATGGCCCTTTTTCAACAGATATGTTCTTCCTTGGCCAGTATGACTCGTTATATATGCAGAGGAGGAAAGGGAAAGTTTGCATAACTTACCACAGCTCATCGCATCCGACAGAGTTGTGTCTCGTTCATTAAACATGTCACACAATGCTTTGGAGGTATCTGTTGCTTCGAGATTTCTGTCTCCTGAAACCACAAATCGTTAACCATAAATGATGCCGAATTTTGAGGAGGAAAGGATTTAGCCTCTCCTGCCCAAGACACAGGGAGAGATCACAGACAGAGGAGTGTAGGTTTTCCTGATTTTTGTCATTTTCCCCTTTACCGAGCCTTTTTTTGGGGAGGGTGGGAGAGGCTTCACTTTAGGAAATCTGAAAAGTTTTTAAAAATATTTTAGAAATCCACTTCCCCTCTGGAGCCTCTGCTCTGGAGCTATTTTTTTAGTTGCAGTAGTCATAGTATGCAAATTGAAAAAAGTGGCATGCCCCAATTCAAGAACTGTTGGATCCTATAGCTACAGGAACGCTTGGAACCCTGATGTCTACCTTACAATGTAGGTATAAACCTCAGGGAGAAACACCATAGTGCTAAATCCTGCCCCTTGGAGAAAAGTGGGGCTGAAATCAGGTTGAAAAGAGGGACAAAAAAGACATGGAAAGTCAGCAAAGAAGCAGTGAACTAAGTGGGATGAGCATTATGTTGTGTGGGTGGTGCAGAAAATACCAACAAATTGAGAGAACCTGGTATTTCTACAAGAGCGAAGTGCTTTGAACTGGGTAAGCCCCGTAAAGAAGGGAGAAAAGGCATCAGCTGGTCAAGGGACAACCTTAGAGAATGACTCTGGTTAGCAAAAATACTCATTTATTGAAATCTGGCTGGTGGGTTGTATACTGAAATGAGGTAGAGAACAGGAGAGCAACAGGAATTAGGGTTCTTCGGGACAAAGACCAGAACCTGTTGGCATTTGCATAAAGTTTGCATAACTTACCACAGCTCATCGCATCCGACAGAGTTGTGTCTCATTCATGATGTTGGTCAGGTTGCCTAACTGTGCAACAGAGATGGACTCTGAAACCATCTCTATCTCGGTTGAATATCGGGAAAAACTTCCTAACTGTTAGAGCAGTATGACAGTGGAGCCTGTGACCTCGAGAGGTGGGGAGTGTTTCGATGCTGGAGGCCTTCAAGAGAAAGACGACCACCTGCCAGATAGCCTTTGACTTGGTGGAGCCCTTCCGTGGAGAAAGCGTGGCTTTTAATTTAGGCATATGTGGAAGAGGAATGACTAGACAAAAGACTGCATTGAATCTAGCAACCTTGTCCACCTCCAGAACAATAAATTTCTCACCTCTGAGAATGAAGATACTTCTTCGGCCCGTTGAGGCTGGAATAGATTTATCCCTTCCGCAGGGTCACTGCTCAAAAACAGCAATCAGGTTCACAAGCTAGGCCTGTGGTTTTGACTTCTCATACCTGATTCCTTTCCTCCCTGGGCACTCAGTTCAAAGAAATGACGCCCCACTATTATGGAAATAAAAAGCCTGTTTTTTTCTCAACAAGGGCATTTATGGACATCTTGATATACAGTATATACTTTTTTTTTCAATTGCAGAAAGCTGGTTTAAGAAATATGCTGCAATGCTTCTGGTTTGGTTTTGCTTTTCTTGTCGCTTGAAACAGACTAATACCAGCCACCTTTCTGACAACTTGCCAAAAGATCACAAACAGATAAACCTGTGTGGCAGGGTAGGATTGGTAAGAAACTGGGTCGCACTTGCAGATGGGCATGGTGGTTGAAAGCGAGTGAATTCCTGGGAATTGCTGTGAAAATTGAATTCCTGGGAATTGCTGTGTATCCTGCCTGGACAATCTGTGTGTGCCAGTAGTAGTTGATGTACCAGGCAAAACAGGACTGGGCATCCGGAAGAAAACAATATACAGTATTCATGAGTTTGACTCATAATATCAGTAGGTCTTCTCTGCTCCTAGAGCCGGTTTGCCTCTCTGCATCAGGTATCATAATAATAAAACCCCCCAGAGTGAGCTTTTAATAAGACCTCCTGCCAATAAAGACGCCTGGAGGTGGGGAGCTCGTTGCCTTTATAACCAGCTTGTGGGTTTCCTGGAGATAACAGGCGGGTCGCTGTAAGAACAGAGTGCTGGACTGGAGAGGCCATTGGTTTGATCCGGCATGGCTCTTTATGCAACGCATGTTCTTCTGTTCATGTTATTAAAAAAAAACATTCTGTGTTTTGTTTTAGAGTTGAGCTGAAGATTGGGAAGGTGAGCTTCACTCCCGGCCCCAAAAATGGTGATCAATGTCTGCCTTCCACAATTCAAGCCGAGAATTCACTGCAACAAGGTATTTTGTCAGGGGGTATTGAAAGAAAAAAGAACAGAAGAGAGGTCAGATGGGGGGTATTGAAAGAAAGAAAGAAAGAAAAAAGAACAGAAGAGAGGTCAGAGATTTGTTGTGGGAGAGCCAAGGGAAGCTTGTTCATGTAGAACAGAATTTGTGGTGCTAGTGTACAAGAGCTCCCTGCTGCTCATGCATTTTTCCCCCTAAGAAATGTGGCTCATGGCATCCATGGAGGGACATCCGGCAATTCACATGGTGTGCAAAAAAATAAATAAATAAATAAATAAAAAAAAATTAAAACAGCTGCAGGAGGTTGCCTTTTGTAATCTTGTAGGGCAGGAAGGACAAAGATTTGTTGTGGGAGAGCCAAGGGAAGCTTGTTCATGTAGAACGAAATTCGTGGTGCTAGTGTACAAGGGCTCCCTGCTGCTCATGCATTTTTTCCCCTAAGAAATGTGGCTCATGGCATCCATGGAGGGACATCCGGCAAGTCACATGTTGTGCAAAAAAAAATAAAAAATTAAAACAGCTGCAAGAGGTTGCATTTTGTAATCTTGTAGGGCAGGAAGGACAACAAGGTTTGCTAGCTGGCCAGTGGTCTAGACCAGTGGTTCTTAACCTTGGGTTACTCAGATGCTTTTGAACTGCAACTCCCAGAAACCCCAGTCAGCCCAACTGGTGGTGAAGGCTTCTGGGAGTTGCAGTCCAAAAACACCTGGGTAACCAAGGTTAAGAACCACTGGTCTAGACCCCTGCTGGCCTCTGATTTTGGAGAGCTGAAGAAAAGCCTTGTGGCTTCTCTTTGCAGTTGTCAATTCCCTGCAGTAGAGCCAACCTCTGGAGAAAGAGAACAGGACCCGAGCTGTAGTTGTCTTGTGTGGCCCTTCTAGCTGTTGGCGAGGCTAAAACCACACTACCTCCTTGTCACAGGTTGGTGACATCATAATGGAGACCAGAAACCAGGGTCCTCACCTAAGAGACCACCTGTCTTGCTACCTTCTAGCTGGCCAGTGGCGCTCTCACTCTCTCAGCAGGCAAGCATTCTAGTATGGAAGGTATAATTCAAGCTCAGTATATGTCCTTTATGACCATTCAGGGACAAAGCAGCTTTTAAAGACTTTAGTCACGAGGCTGTATTAGCTATGGAACAGGTCAGCAAAAGGGAGCCTTCAGCCATTCACATATTTTGGACTACAGCTACCAGAAGCACAGTATTGCTAATAGTTTCCCCGAAAATAAGACCTAACCTGAAAATAAGCCCTAGGATGATTTTTTGGGATGATCGAAATATAAGCCCTACCCCCCCCCACCAAATAAGCCCTATTTAAGTGAAACTCAGACTCCACCCTTGTGCAGCAACCAGAAGAAGATGACACAACTGTATTTGAAAAAATGTAGATGGTTGTACATGGAAAAAATAAAACATGCCCTGAAAATAAGCTGTTTGTATATAATATACTAATGTTCTAATTTTTGTCCAGCTACAATACAGGGTTTCCTGTGTTTGTTTATCTTGTTCTTGTCATGGGGCAGAGAGCTGTGTAAAGTCCTAATGTCACATCTTATAATTCCAAAATCCTGCTGAGGTTTCCCTCTGCTTTTGACTTTTCATCCGGTCCTTTCTTTCTACCACCTTAAAGACTGGAACCTTTACCCTCTCCTGCGGCTGCGTTTATTCATCTCTTTTATGTACATTTCACCGAAAAGCAGACAACTTACCAAAGCAGCTTAGAAAATGGTTGTTTAACAGCCGTGGAGAAATACAGGCCTTCGTTAAGTCCTTTGTTCCCAAGTATTTCAATAGGAAAGCTTTTTATAGATGCACACTTTCAATCTCTTTTGAAATCCTTGTGGGTTCTTTAAGTATTTGGTAGTGGACAGGCTTCTTGCTTTCTTGTGAATCAGGTTCACCTTTGTTCATTAAATCAGAGTGCTGAGAACAGTTTATTTTTTATCTGATTTTATTTTTCCACTTCCATATTGTAGATCTCTACTGACGGTTATGAAGTAGAAAACCTGATCTCGGAAGACCCTGCCAAAAGAAACCGCGGATTCCGCTGCGAATATTTCATCAAGCCCCCCGTCCACGTGACTCTTTCTTTCCCATTCAACGTTGAAATTAGTCGGGTTAATCTAGACATCTCCTCTGGCGGTTGCCACAATGTCATGGGACTAGATCTCTTCACCTCTACCTCGTCCAGTAAAGCCTCTTGGAGCGGCCCCGAGCCTCCATTCTCAACCAGCCAGCCCGCCTTGGACAAAGAGGTGTTCACTCTGGTGGGCAAAGCTGTGCTGAAGAACCAAAGCAAAGTCACCTTCAGCCACCGAGGCTTCAAGCCGAGGCCTCCTTTCCACCATCCGATGGACTCTCTTTTCTCCTTTTCTGGCTCGGCATCCCTGGACTTGTGGAGTAAAGGCCCGACCTCCTTGAGTAGCGTTTCCCACTTGAAAATCTGCATCACCCACGTGGCTGGCGGGGGCCTCCCTTGCATTAAGAAAGTGGAGGTTTGGGGCCAACCGGCCAAATCCTGCTCTCGTGAGGTGGTGGACAACGTCCTCAGAGTGGCTTCCGAGTCCTTGGCGCTAGGCTTTGGAGGGGGACAGGCCGCCGGCCTCCCGTCTCCGATGGAGAGTGACCTTATCCCCTTCAGCAGCTCGGAGAGCCAGGAACAAAGGTTGATGGACGCCATTCCGGATGTCCCCGAAGAGTTCCTGGACCCCATCACGCTGGAGGTCATGACTGTCCCCGTGCTGCTGCCTTCGGGCAAGGTGATCGACCAAGAGACACTAGAGAAGTGCAACCGGAGCGAAGCCTCTTGGGGACGGGTGCCCAGTGATCCCTTCACCGGAGTGGCTTTCAGCCAGCACTCCCAGCCCGTTCCCCATCCCTCCCTCAAGGCCAGAATAGATCACTTCCTCCTTCAGCACAGCGTCCCTGGCCTTCAGCTGGTAGGGAGAAATCGGGCTTCGGGGACCATGGTGGCCTCTTCCATCGCCATGTCTTCGCTGAAAAGGAAAATCGACCGGGTGGAACAGAACCCGGGCCGCCAGGGCAAGACCGAGCACTTCCATTTTACTCCCACAAACTTTGTCGTTGCCTCTGCCTTGGAGTCCCCTGCTAAAAAAATGAAAGTGGAGTGTGATTCCAACACCTCCCAAATGGACTGCTCAACAGGTATAACTGGACCCTTTCTCTCTCGATCCACGGGAGGAGGAGGAGGAGGCTGTCCATTGAGGGTACATCCGATTTGCTAGCATAGTTACTTCTAAATACTTAAAATAGTCTTTGGATTATTAGTTGGGCAGATCCACGTTGCACTTTGTGGAGAATACAGGGAGGATGTCAAGAAGTGGGGGGCTATTATTTTATCACTGCTGCTCGAGGTGTCAGTAATTTGTGTTCTGTCTTGGTTTTGTGAGCTAATTTCCATTTGGATGGCGCGTTGTTCTTGACCTGATACACCCACGTCTTCCATAGTTTTTGATGGTCATGACTTTGTGCCTTCTTTTGTATTCCATTTTATTTGATATTTCCAAGACCTGTTCATTCTGCAAGTCTTCATAGAGCAATGTAGAATCTGGACTTCGGTTCTGATCCTAAAGTTGTGAGAATGCACCAGGAAGTGCATTGGAAATTATATTTAAATATACATTCACAACATGTACATTTTAACACAAATCGTGTTACAACTTTATGCTTTGCAGACTTTCCATCAGCATCTGTTGGGGCCACGGTGAGGTACAGGAAGCTGGACTAGATGGGCCCTTGGCCTGATCCAGCAGAACTCTTCTTAACGTTCTTATTTTTATAGCAAATCCTTCAAAACGTTAGACTTCCCAACACTTCTGTGCATCTCCTATCTGGTTGTATAACAAGGACTTCCCACTTCCCCCCTAGAAATCCTTTCCTTGAAAGATAATCCTAGAGATTCTTAGATTGCATTGAGCTGATCACACTGCAGGCTTTGATGTCCCATCCCCTACTTCCTTTTTTATGCCATAGGGCCTGAAAAAAAAAGCTGAAGCCCATCTTCCCTTATAGCTCATATGTCTGCTGTGAAGGCGTTCTGAGTGTTACAATTACATCTTCCCTTTTCCCCATACGGCCTTTGTTTGGAAAGGGTCTTGGCGCAGCGGCAGAGCATATGCTTTGCTTACCAAGGATCCCGGGTACAATTGCTCATTCCTCCGCTGAGCACTAGAGAAAGGCGCTTGCATCTGAAGCTCCATAGAGCTGCTGTCACTTATTGTGTTGGACGGACCGATCTTCTCGGGCTACGGCAGCTTTCCATGTGCTTCTCAGCTGTGCAGAAAATACTCTATAGGGCCATCTCATCACTTCCTGATGATGAATTGCGAAGCTTTTGGCTGGAGCGTCGCATGCCTCTTGGCAGGGGGCTGGTTCCCCTGGCGAACCTCCGTTAATGAGCATCTGGGTGGTTTCCTGATAGATGGTACCTTTCACGCTACGCTGTTCTCAGCCTGGAAGTTTAGTTCTTTAAGTTAATTGATTATAGCTGTAGTTTCGAAACCAAAAAAAGGAACTAGTTGTCCTTAGAATTGCTGCTTTTAAACAGTAGTTTTACTTTTTCATTCAAAGTAGCTAGATAGTTATTTTTTAAATTTATTAAACAGGCGCCAGATGCTACAGGCCTATCCTGTAAAGAAATTCATTGAGGCTGCACATACTCTGTAGTTAGGAAAGGATCTTAAAACCCATTATTTCTACGCTGCAGATAAGGGAAGTCCTTGTTAGAACCATAAAGTGTTTTAGTGTGATTAAAAGGGAATTGTGATCAACTTTTCCTTTTCAGCCAGTTACTTCAAGATCTGACCCTAGTTTTACCGGGTTTGGGGCCTATCCCCATTAGAACTGTGTCTTTCAAAGACAATGTTTTTTTTTTTTAAATCTAGGTCAGTGTTTTTAACATACATATTTTAGAAAACACCAGCCGATCTTTTGTTCAGGCTGGCAAAATGTGAAGTTACACTGATGTAGTACGTGCTGGATGTTAGGCCCAGCAACAAGGAGTTGTGCAACCGGTTGTGTGTTTCAGCACAACCAACAGCACTGGGTGCTGGTGGAGGTCTTTTGAGGGTTGTGCTTCTGCCTGGCTAGCAGTGAAACTGCTGCACACTACCTCTAGTTGTACGTGTGTAGTTGTGCAATAGGAGTTTGGCCATTAAGAGATTTAGGAAACAAAGCACATTCAAAGTTTAGAAGGGGTATAAAAGTACACTGTTCCACCGTCATGTTGATGCCAAACGTGCAGGCGTATGAAAGACTTTATGTTTTATATCACTTTGCCTAGATGTCCCACCCAGAGGCCCTTGTGGGGGTTCCTCGGTGGTTCTATTCTAGTTTGTAAGACCAAACATTGCAGCATTCCTCAGTGCAATCCCAGGAACATACTCCATTTCTCATTAGGCTGTCTTCCTAGCAACAGGTCTCCATTGGTTTGGCTGGAGAAACTGGGAGAGAGAGAGAGTCTGTTGAGGTGTGTGCCCTTGGCAGCTTATACGGTCCCTCCCTTTTCAGCAACAGTGAGTGTTGAGTAGCAGCTGCCGACAGCGGGGGCCCGTTTGTCCGTTGTCTCGAACGACGTGGATGGTTGCATGTTGAAGAAGCAGGACATGGGTTGCGCAGAGCCCTCATTCTCATCCACCGAGGTTCACATATTTGGTTTGGATTGGTTGCCAGTGCTGAACCATGTACTTTCTTCTGAGGAGAAGGGAAAGCAGACGTTGATGGCTTTTAAAGCATCCTCTGATAAACACCTCCCGCGTGGCTGAATGGCCGATGGGCTTGCTTCTTGATCCCTTGATGGGCACCCTGAAAGTCTGTTTCTAGGTTTCTGCCCTTTTCTTTGCAGATCCGGTTTCTCATGAGCAGAGGCTTTCGGAAAGCTTGGATAGCGCCTTGAACTCTGCCCTCAGCCATATGCCTTCGTTCACCACGACCTTGACTAAAGGCCAACAGCCGCCCAACCACAGCAGCAGCTCCAGCAGTCTGTGGAACACAAGCAGCGCACACGGTAAAGGGGCCCCAACATCAAGGGGGGAAAAGGCCCTGGGTGACTGCGGTGGGGGGGTTGTGTTTCCAAAAACTGTTAAGGAAATAATGGGTGCGTCTAGTGGATAGGGACATATACCTTACCCACGGAGTCCTTTGAGAACGTGAATCCTGAAAATCAACTTGCCTGTGGATGATATAAACAATTGTCGACCCATCGCAATGGTCCCGTCCTTAGCAAGCTAGTGGAGAGAATGGGGGCTAATCAGCTCCAGGCACTCCTGGAGGAAACCGATGCCCTCGATCCATTCCAGTCTTGGCAATCTGGTCAAGAGAGTGGGGCCTGATCAGCTTCAGGATCTCCTTGATATGTCCCAGTCCGGGTTCAGGTTGTGTCATGGCATTGGTCGCCCTGCAAGATGACCTCTTGAGGGAGGTCGACAGGGGCAAAATGTCCCTGCTGGTCCTCCTTGAACTCTCAGCAGCCTTTGATACCATCGACCGCGGTATCCTCCTGGGGAGGCTCTCGGGGTTGGGGATCGGTGGTCAGGCATTGGCTTGCCTCCGGTCCTTCCTGGAGGACCGTCCCCAGAGAGTTCAGCTGGGGGAGATGTTGTCTGTTCTGTGGACTCTCATAATATCTACATGAGGCTGCTGGGGGAGGTCATCAGGAGCTTTGGAGCTTCGTGTCACCCATAGGTGGATGACGCTCAGCTCTGTCTCTCCTTCCACCCTCCTGCAGTGGATGCCGTCCCGTCTCTTGAGCGCTGCCTTGATGCCGTGCTGGGATGGATGAGGGATAATAGACTGAGGCTGAACCAGGGCAAGACAGATCCTGCGGTTGGGGGCCCATCGTGTCTGGATTGGATGCCTCCCTCTCCTTTGGCGGGGGGGCCTGCTTTCTCCGCTAAGGATGAGGTTCGCAGCTTGGGTGTACTGCTGGACACTATCTACGGAATCTCAGGTAGCATCTGTGGTCCGTTCCGCCTACTTCCACCTAAGGCAAGCGACTACTGTAACGCTCTCTATGAGGCTGTTACGTCAGCTTCAGGAGGTCCACAGCACGGCGGCCAGATTACTGAGTGGCATTCAGAAACATCAACACATTTCTCCCACCCTGGCCACCCTGCACTGGTTACCCGTTTATTTCCTTGCCAGCTTCAAGGGGATGGTGTTCACTTATAAAGGCCTAAGTGGTTTAAAGCCTCGATACCTGACAGAACACCTCCTCCCAATGAGATCTGCCCATCCCATTCGATCTTCCTGGGCCGAGCGGTGGAGAGTTTTGACCCCGAGAGAAGCCCAGAAAGAGAGAACCAGAAACCGAGCCTTCTCGGCAGTTGCTCCTCAGCTCTGGAACAAGCTCCCGGCCGAAATCTGTCTGGCCCCTTCACTTGGGAAGTTTTAAGCAACTGTTAAAAACGTGGCACCTTCCCAGACCTTACAACATCTTAATTACACCACCTAATTAACTGTGAGCGGTCTCAACATTTATACTATCAATCCTGCTGTCTTGCTCTATATTATATTAACTGTTTTATTTAAATTGTTGGTTGTTTTATCTTTATTTTTGTTTTGTATTATTAGGTTCATTGTTGGTATAGTGTATGTTTTATTTGTCTAACGTGTATACCGCCCAGAGTGGCCTAGTAGCCAGAGGGGCGGTATAGAAGCCGAATGAATGAATGAATTAATTAATTAATTAATGAGATGGTGAATTAGTGAATGAGTGAGCGAGTGAATGAATGAACAAATGAATGAGTGAATGAATGAGTGAATGAATGAGTTAGTGAGTGAGTGAGTGAGTGAATGAATGAATGAGTGAGTGAATGAGTTAGTGAGTGAGTTAGTGAATGAATGATGGATTTGCACTGGCAGAAATGCGGTATCACCTTATATATATAACCACTTTGCACGCTTTTGCCACACACGTGGGAAGGGTCCAGTTCTTATCTTGGAGCGTGTGTGTCTTGATGCCTTAAATAGGTCAGCTTTTTTTAAAACGGTGCCTTGTAGACAAAGGAACCAGGGGAAAAAAACAGATCCTGGGGTGGATTAATCTCTCTTGGACAGGTTGAGCCGGTGACGGTGATTTCCAGACTCCGTGGCTGTGGCCTAACTTTTGTGCAGCCATGTTTCTTTATTTCCAACCCCCTACCTTTGCCCTCTTCATTTTGCTTGGTCAGGAGCAGGCTTCCCAGGAAGCTGTCTGATAACATGGTCCCGTTGTTACGAGGTTGAAGAACAGTAGCTCAGTGCTTAAATGTCCCCCTCTCTCTCCCCCTCCCCCCCCCGTTAGGGACCAAAATGGACCTCCCTTTTTCTCCCCCCCTGGTTCTGGCTCTACAGAGTTCTTGTTTGTTTGTGTCCCAGATGCGTCTTCACTTAAAATTTCAGCTGCTTCTTTGGGTTAGTACCCACCGACCACGGCCCTAAACGGCTGCCTTATTATTGTGGAAGCAATTATTGTTCAGCCTGTTCCCCTCTGTAGATCTGCCAGATGGATGGCATTAAACCCGCACATTTGGAGCGCGTCAAGCGGCATCTGTGTGTTTTTGACTGTCTTCAAGAGTCGGAAGGCAGAAAATGGTGGTCTTGGAGATCGCGGTTGGCCAAGCCCATCTGTTTGGCTTGCTCATCCGTGACTGGAGTGCTAATTCTTTTCACACTGCAGAATCCAAGCATTTTTGCATTCTGAACTGGCTGGATATATTTAATTGTCTTTGCAGCTTCCCCCAGCCCTGAGGTTTGGAGCAAGTAAGGATAGCAAAAAGCCTTGAAAATAGATTGGTTTAGCAAAGCACCCTCATCCTTTGGCAATTTAGCCCTAAGATTTCGCTGGGAAAGTCGGTTGCACCGTTCTTCCAAGGCTTTCCAACGGCAGAGTCTGCAGTGGGAGGGACAGCTGTAGTGGTTCGACGGTTGCTGTGAGAGGTTTGTGGGCCCCTCTTCCTTCTGCATACGTGTTGTTTTTATTTTGTATTTCTGCAGAGCACACCCGGAGCGGCACTGGTAGCACCCAAGGATGTTCCTCCTGTTCTCGAACCTTTTCTGTGTACTTCAAGACAGAACCAGTATACCAGCTCCCTTGTGGCCACCTCGTGTGCCGCGCTTGCCTGGCTGAGAAGCAGAAATCTTTATCGCTACTGTGCATGAATTGTCAAAGGTTGGTCGCCACACAGGACATCACGAGGGTCCATTTCTGACATGCCTTCTCCTGATCCAGCTCCTGGAGATGATGGGCGGTTGAAGAAACTCATGAGCTGGTGGTGGTGGGGGAACCAAGGAGTAGGAGATACCACATCTCACCCCCCCCTCCTTTGAGTCATGCAGAGAGGGGATGCTACATAACCCTTGCAAAAACAGAGCTCTGTGCGGTTCTCAAGAGCACTTATTGCCCCACAGGAGACTAGGTGGGGCTGGAGCATTGTACATGGTGCCAGAGCTATAAGTGAGCAAAGGATAATAAAGCCATATGCTTCTCTAACTTTTTTTGTTCCAGAAAATCTCATTTCATTTACAGAAGCAGCTGCCATGGGGACTACACAGTGTTCTGTTTCATTTCTGCCCCTTTTCAGGGGTGTGGTCATGTAACACCTTGGATCCACCCTCCCGGAAGATCTGTTCCGTAAGAAAGGTTTTGGGTTGTAGTAAATAAAATACAGGAAACTGTGTCTGCTCTGGATGGATTGACTCAGATAAGGAAGCTTTGGGCTTTTGCTTGTAAGATCTGAGCAGGGGCCATTAATGATCTTATCTTTTGGAGGTTGTTGACTTTACAGGGTTGCCCTAAGTCAGAGCATGCAGCGACACCACTTGCCGTGGCACCTGTCTGTTGCGGGCATCGTCTGGGTGCCATTTCCCCCTCCCCCTGCCCCCAAAATGCAAAGAAAGAAAACAAAAACCTTCCAGCTTCTAGTAAGTAGGGTCACCAATTTCTGACGGTCACGTTAACTACCTGGCAATGAGAAACAGTGGGCAGTTGTTAAGCAGTACTGGTGCCAATTTTTCCTTGGCTGTGTAACCTGTATAAAAAGTCTCTCTGTGTTATCTGTTCACACATGATTGTGGTCACTCTTGATTTCTTCTCAGCAACAAGGTGGGAGGCGTAGTCAGCTCTCCTCCTGTCTAGCAGAGTAAAATGCAAGCCTTAATAAAAAATTACGGTCAGAAGTCACTGGCCTTGCTTTGGCTTAACAGCCGTTGTCTTTCTTTTTTGCTTGTGTGCCCGGTGCAAGGCTGTGTAACAACAGAGGGGGGACCTATTATGTGTCTCATTAAAAATTTCCAGTACAGGTCCACACACTACACATTCACCAAGATGGAGATGAACACACGGGGGGTCCTAGTAGTGTGGAAAGCCTCTGTATATGGAAGGAAGTCTAATCTTTCAACTTTCTGTGTGTGCGGAGAGCAATGGTGGGATGGATGTGCTTCCATCAGCATGGGTTCAAGAAGGTCATAATAAGGCTGTTCCCTTTCTCACCTGCTTCACAGACCCAAATAATAATTCACAGTGGTTTTCTGGTGGGTGGAATGGGGGTTGCTAATTGGGGAATAGACAGACCCCCTCCCTGAAAGGAGAGCGAAGAGGATTCCCTAGAAAAGTCCCAAGCAACTGCTGTAATAGATAACCATCAGCAGCAACTGCAGGAGAAGAAGTGGCCAGGAGCGCTGGGCCACCGTTAAGACTGACGAACAAGGAGCTGCCAAAGAGCTTGTGGGAGTTGTGGCTAAAAAGCATATATCTGCACTTTTACTAATGAATTCCGTTTGGCATAAGCAGTACAGTCCACAAAGGTAAAAGGTAAAGGTTCCCCTTGACATTTTTAGTCCAGTCGTGTCCGACTCTAGGGGGCGGCGCTCATCCCGCTTTTCAAGCCATAGAGCCAGCGCCTGTCTGAAGACAGTTTCCATTATCACGTGGCCAGCATGACTAGGGAACGGTGTTTTACCTTCCCACCCAGATGGTACCTATTTATCTACTCGCATTTACATGCTTTCGAACTGCTAGGTTGGCGAGGAGCTGGGACCAAGTGACGGGAGCTCACTCCGTTGCGTGGATTCGATCTTACGACTGCTGGTCTTCTGACCCTGCAGCACACAAAGGCTTCTGCGGTTTAGCCCACAGCGCCACCACATCCCTACAGTCCACAAAGGCTTGTGACCAATAAAAACTGGCCAGTCTTAAAGGTGCCACAGGGATTCTTTGTTGCTATGAGCCTAGGCCAGCTACCTCCTCGGGGGAAAAAAACATTTGCGAAAGAAGAGGGTTTTAGGGAGTGGGGCAGGAGCTGTAGCTTACAGCTGGAGACTGTGCCTTGCAGAGAGAAAGGCCAGTATTCAGTCTCCAGAGCCTACCAGCAAAGGTCCTTCTCTATAAGAGAAGCCTTATTGGCCAGAAAAAGACTAGATGGTGCCAGCTGAACAAATAAGCCAACCTGGCTCATGGTTGTTGTTTTTTATCTGCCTGCTCATCCTGGTGGAGTTTTAGGTACAAGCTGCTTGAAGTGGGTACTTTACAGTAGGGTCCCTGTATCCATTGGGGATTGGTTCCAAACCCTTCCCCATGGAGACTGAAAAACGTGGATAGTAGCAAACACATAGCAAATATGCTTTTAAAGTTAGATTTATGAATTCCTTCCTAGTATGAATCCTGCCATAGGTTCTCTGTGTTCCTTTGCTCCTGGAATGCTGAAAACGTGGCCTGGATCCACAGAATGGATCTGCCAGAATTTAACCTGCTTTGGGTGATTTAGTTTCCGTGACTGCGGTTTAGTGAATTTGTTGTTGTTGTTGTTGTTTAGTCGTTAAGTCGTGTCCGACTCTTCATGACCCCATGGACCAGAGAATGCCAGGCCCTCTTGTCTTCTACTGCCTCCCGGAGTTGGGTCAAATTCATGTTGGTCGTTTGGGGACCCTATCCATCCATCTCGTCCTCTGTCGTCCCCTTCTCCTCCTCTTGCCTTCACACTTTCCCAACATCAGGGTCTTTTCCAGGGAGTCTTCTCTTCTCATGAGATGGCCAAAGTATTGGAGCCTCAGCTTCAGGATCTGTCCTTCCAGTGAGCACTCGGGGTTGATTTCCATCAGAATGGATAGGTTTGTTCTCCTTGCACCACAATTCAAAAGCATCAATTCTTCGGCGGTTGACCTTCTTTAGGGTGCTCTTCTCTCAGCTGCCCAGAGGCATGTGAACAGGAGATGAGGATGTTTGAAGGAATTTGGGTATCTTGAGTGGGCAAAGGATGTTCGCTGGGAAGTGGCATCACCACCACTGTTGTTATTCTGAAAGTGTACGTGTAGGTGGAACCCGCTGGAGTCTTTCTGCCTTTCAGATAGATCTGGTAAAGCTCAGCAAAGTGATTCATTTGGCATATGCCTTTCTGCCCTTTTTGGTATTCATTCATTCATTAACGGTCAATGAGGCATAGCTTAACGACGTGCCCAGAGATGCCAATTCTCTCATTTACAAAGCTGTGCTAGATAGAACCAAATTCTCCCTAGTCTGGAGAGGAGACCATCCAAACTGGTACGAACTGTTGTGCCTTCATAGTGCAGATTCCTAGCTGGTTGGAGAGCTCATTGGGTGAGGTCTCTGACTGCTGAGCCAGATGTTGGGAGTTTGAATCCCCCACTGGGCTACCCAGAAGAGGAATCAGCCTCTGTGGCCTTGGGCCTACTGTGCAATCCCGTGGCACCCTCAGAAGAAGGGAAGAGGAAATTCTGAGTACTCTAGACCAGTGGTCCCCAACCTTGGGCCTCCAGATGTTCTTGGACTTCAACTCCCAGAAATCCTGGCCAGCAGAGGTGGTGGTGAAGGCTTCTGGGAGTTGTAGTCCAAGAACATCTGGAGAACCCAAGGTTGGGGACCACTGCTCTAGACCAGCCATTCTCAACGGGGGGCCATGTGGCTCCGTGGGCACATTTGAAGGGGACCACAGACAAAATGTGAGAAGCTTCTGACAGTGGACCCTGGACCTAAGAAGAGCTCTTAAAAGGCTCGTGGCCAAAACAAAAGTTGGGAATGGCTTCTCTAGACCAAGAAAACCCAGACAAGAGTCATCCTAAGTCAGAATTGACTTGATGGCACATCATCATCATCAATGCAGGTGCCTGCCTGTTGGTCTCAACATAGTCTCTGTCTCTCAGAATCCAAGAGTAAATAGAGATTAGGCCATAATTAACTGACAAACTGGCCTAGCTAGATTAGAGTCATGGAGAAGTGGAGAAATTACAACACTGGGAAAACTCTTTAACACCCCCTGTGGCATTGTCCAAGATGATAATGCTGGGCCCCTTCACCCTTACTGCCCTTTTACTGTCTTCTCAGTTGTGCTTAATGGATGATGTTTGCCTGTAACTCTTGAGCAGGAACGTTGGCTGATTTCATTAAGCGATTCCAGGCTACGGGTGGGCCAATCTTCCTTAACTCGGAAAACATTTCGTTAACCTTCCTTGACATTATGGAGTGTCGCTGCATTTTTAATCTTTCATCGCAGCATTATGATGCTAGGCACACAGTCATTTGAGGGCAGATAATTCCTGCTAATGTAATTTTAAGATACAGTAATGTGGAGTCTGGCCTGGTCGTGTAATGCTTTCATTGAGTCTAGAAATGACACTTGGGAGGGCGGCTGGCTTTTAAAATAATGATAATAAAGTTCTCTATTCCTGTGTTGTTTACTGATTTCACTGCTTGGTGACTAGTAGGTCAGATTCCAAAGCTGCTGGGAACCGAAGAGGCTCGGAAACTTGAGATGACAGCAGCTAAAGCTTCCTGAGGTTTATCGTCTTTCACTTATATTAATTTTTTTTTAGTTGATCGAGTTAGTGTAACAGGAGAGTTTATTGAAACAACCACAGAAGAGTCAAGTTAGTTAAACAAGCTAAATGGAAGTTGAAATTTGCAGGGCCCTTGTCAATCTTTCAGGGCAGTTTTGCTTTACTTTCTTTCAATCTGTAATCTTCATATTCAACGCAGGGAGTCTATGAGAAAAAAAGACAACAACCTGATACATCTGACAAAATTTGGGGAAGGTTGAGCTTCTTCCCTTGTTGCTCAAATTTTGAAGAATCCAGACATGAAGAAAAATTTCATGTTGCGTGAAATGGAGTCCAGCAAAATTATTACACAACACATCACTTAAGCGAATGTTCTAAGAGTCCCAACAGAGTAAACTAAATTGTGCCCATAACATTCTGAAGATACTGGTCGTGAGTGGGTTATCTGCTTTTGTTTTTTTTATCTGTGATCAGTTTTCTTTTTAGGTGACCACCCCCTTGATTTGGGATCCTTAATCCTCTTTTTGCAGGGAGCTGCTCTTGATTTTTATCCTTTTAGCGTTGCTAAAATCAGACAAGCTCACGGTTCCTGTCAGTTTTGGATTGCCAGGTGTAAACCAATTATGGCAAAGAAAACTATCCTTTGATTCATGATTTTTAAAAAAAGCCAAAGCTAGGCCATCGGAAGCTTATGCAGGGTGATTGATTATTTGACAGCACACAGTACACGACCAAAAATGTCTGGATCTCATGGATTGATAGATGTCTTTATTTTCAGTCTCTTTCCAAATTGTCTCCAGCTGTGAAGGAACGGTAGACCCAAAGGAGAAAGAACGGAGTGAGCCGCCCCCTCTGGTAGAGATGTCTGAGCAGGAGAGAGAGACAGAAGGAGGGAAGACAAGAGATGGGGAGATGCTGAAGGTGGAGGAAGGGAAAAGAAAGGGAATCAAAAGGGAAAGAGGAGAAGACTGAAATCTGTCTAGTGGAAGAGAGAGAGGGAGAAGGGGAAGAAGGATTAACTTTGCCCGTGTGGGAGGAAGAGGTAGGGGAACGAAGTGTGAGGAGAGAGTTCAATATACCAAGGAGGGGAAGAAAGAAGGAAGGGGAGGAAAAGAAGGGAGAGAAGAGAGAATACGAATATGATAGAATGCACGGGTTGTTGGGAGGACTTCCCTAATTTGAAGGTAGGAGGGCTGCTACCTGACCCGGACGCGTCTAAAGATAAAGGGACATCGGCAGAAGCTCTAGAATGGACGGGATGCGTCTAAAGATAAAGGGATATCGGCAGAAGCTCTAGAATGGACGGTCGTGGTCTTTCCATGGGGACAAAGTCCCTCAAGGAAAGCGATTTGGCCGGACCCTTCCTTCAATCATCCACCGTCGGAGGGAGATTGGGCCAGACGCCCTTGTTG